GTTACCAGTATTTCAAAAATCAACAATAGATGCTTCTCTCAAAAAACTCTTCATTTCTTTTCAATTACTTCAGAGCTAACTACTGTATGACTTCATTTGCACTTCTAAATAAATGGCTAAAAAAAGCATTGCTCATGGTTTTAGAAGTAATTCTGAAAGACCATAAAACAGAGGAGTCATTGAATAATCGATGTAGGAAGTAATTAAACTGATAACAGAATTTATTTGCAAAGAAGCATCTTGCAAAAGCTTTCTTGAGAACTATAAAAAAATTTTGTTTAAAGACTCCTAAGCAGAAGATTGCCTGCACCACTAAGTAAGCATGCTGGGTTTCACCTTTACATATTAATAAAAACATTTTTTTAATACAGTAATTATTGTAAGATATACTGATATAAAAACTGCCGTTTCTTTTTACCAGTAACCCTAAATTTTTATTTTTATTTTTATGACTAACGAGAAGTGGAAACAAAACTGTCAGTCCACTAATCAAAGATTGAAGAGAAAAGTGAAAAGGTATGCCTGTAGCCAATGTGGTTTTCATGACGTCTTTCTGCAGCCTCCAGTTTCAGATAATTTTATTCTTCAGAAAAGTACTCGTGTTTTGTCACAAGAGAAGTGTAACTCTGTCACCACAAACCAAGTACGTGTCTAAGAAATGAAGGAGAAATTCTAAACAGTGTCAACTGTAAAATTATAGTAGACTGAAACCATGATAAATTTTCAAACCTGTAGCCTTATTTTGGCCTTTATCTGAAGTGATTTCACCTTTGACAGTTAATTTTCTGTCTGATAATTTTTATGCTTCACGCATGGTTTAGCAGCCATTCAATTTGTAATTCGTCGACAGCCTATATCAATTTAAAAAACAGTAATTCTTTGTCTTTGATTAATTTTTTTAAATTAGCTTTCTTTCAATTTTTTCCCCGTATTAGTTATGCTTAAATGAAAGGTAAGGGGTGAAGATAAGAAGTAGTTTTGTCAAAGATATGAAATAATTCAATTAAGGAAAAAGGTGGTATTACTTCTCAATAAAAAAGTCTTTTTTTCCTATTGATTTTTCAAATAAGCAGTTAAATTTTGAAAAAAATATTTGCTGCGAACAGCTATAGGTCAGTTTGTGATCGGCTAAAGCACTGAAAAGAATGCATACGTCCAGATAAATTTGCCAGGAAGTATAACAGGAAGTCCTAATAATAAAGATGATAAGTGCTAAAAATAGTAGTTGCCACTGAAGACGAGTTAACCTGAATAAGCTCGCTGATAGTTCGACTTAATTAATAACTCTTTAGAGGATTAGCAAGCCTTCTAACCGAGCCTGTAGCATATACCATTTTTATAGTTAGCCAAAGCAGTTGCTGTCCATCTCCGATATCCTTTCACACAGAACTTGTTAACTGTAAGCAAAACTCAAGGAAGCTACACAAGGACTGTGAAATATAGACAGTGACCGAAGAAGACAGATTTATATAGTTGTGTCACAACTGTTTCCTTTTTTTTTAGTCAAAAGATCATAATTTGCAAGAATCCACCTCAAATTCGCTTCATTTCACTTAGCTGATATAAAGAAGAAGAGCAAAAAAGACCAAAGATTCTAATTAGGAAAAAAACAAAGCAAGAAAAAAACTTAAAAATTGTTGTAAAAGAAAATACAAAGTTCCTGTATACAATTGTACTTAAGCAACTAAGAAATGAACCAAATTTCTGAAGTTTCTATTCTGACAAGAAAAAAGAAAAAACTGTAACAAAAATTTCTTTTGCCTTAGAAAATAAGAGAAGAAAAACAATTGGAGTTCTGGTATAACAGTGAGCCAGTTGAGAAGACGATGGAACATCCAGCTGTTGTTGTTGCTGGCCGATTAATTGACTGCCGACCTTTTTTCACTTGCTTTTTTATGTTGATGGCTACGGTTCTGCTGTTGGGTACGTCCGGTTATGTACACAAATTTACCAGCAATCTATCAGTATTGTTGGCCACTTACTGGATGGCTGGAAGACAGCACGCTTCCTTGAGAAACTGCAGATTAGATATAAAAAAAGCAAGAAAAAAAAAAAAGAAAATAGAATGAGTGAAAACAAATTTGACATTCTTATTTTGTCAAACTTTTTTTTTCCGTTTGATAACAATTACCAACAGTTAGAAAGTTTTATTACCTTCTCGGTGTTCCGTAATTGTATATCTGTAACATCTGTTCTATAGTAGCAGTTATTATACCGTCAGCAACTAAATATTTTATCAGACAGAACAATTTCAGTGCTTAAACATTTGATGAAAACTGACAACATCACCTTTATTCTGTTTGGTAATTCCAAAAAATAAAAAATAAAAATGAAACAGAAAAGTGACCTAAAATTGGAATTTTGCAGTACTAGCGACTAATCTCAGAAACTTGAATGTATTTTCTGCCAAAAACAAAGTGAATGGACTTAGAAAACTGAATGATTGCCCATTTAAAATATCTCGGTACTTTTCCACCGACTTCTTCCGGCTGAAAAAACCGTTGGCCATTTGCAATGGTCGATAATACGACAGCACCTCAAATATAGATGTATATTGGACTTATCCTGAGGCTACAGAGGTGAGCAAAAATTACGGAATTGGCATTTAGCCAAAAATGTAGACTGGGCGCGGAAAATAATTAGGACGAGCAATCAGTACGATATACAAGTGGAACATCCGGTACTGAAATTTTTTCGAGCAGACGACACGGTTCATCCAGTAAATACTGCCTATGCTTGGTCATCAGGGAAATTTTTTTACTCGAGTACAATGGCTATATTATTTTACTGAACCTTGGAAGCTATGTTTATTACAGATGACGTTATCGCTTCTTTATTTACTTAATGTCTTTTTTGTTACTTTTGGTCGTGAATCGATTCAGCAGTTTGATACTTTTTACCGTTTAAGAAGCTACTGGTCGAAAAAAAAAAAAAAAGGAAACAAAAAGACACAGGAATATTTTTTTAATGATGAAATTACAGGTATAACTTTTTTCTTCTGTCATATTTAGCATAAATTACTAAAAAAAAACAACAGCTTTTGTTTTTTTCTTCCTTCTTTGTACATATTTTTTTTATCTGTTAATGCTGGGTAGACAAAAAAGCTTTACCTACATATCCTTCGCTTTTTTCTTTTTATTTTAATTATGCTGTGTCTCAGGAAATGATAAAGTTTTTCTATTATGAAAGCTTTTATCTTGTTGTCTATCACTGATGGCTTCAGTTGAAATGAAGTTTGATGTGAGATATTTTATCACATTTCTTTATTTTTTTTTTTTTATTTTTTGTATTTGTTGCTGTATTTTTGTTCATGTAGTTTCGGTCATCTTTTTACTGTTGACATTTGACACTTGTGCTAATTTCAGGTGCTTTCTTTATCTTTTACACTTTTCAGTCAACATTGTCTTCTCGCTCATTTTGCTTTCATACATATTTCTTTAACTTGCATATTCCAGACCTGGATCACTTTTCCAAGTTACATTCAATTCGATGGTGGCATCGGCGTCCATAAAAACGCCTTTTATCATTGGTGTTGCTGGTGGCACTGCTTCTGGGAAAGTAACGATTTTTTAAACTCAGTTTCCACTCAGTTCCACAGTTTTTTGCCATTGTTTTCATTTACATTCATGCACACTTCTAATTCTTGCTGCTTTTAAAGGAGGGAAAAGAAATATATTATAGTCATCAGTATGCGCGCGAATAATGGAAAAGTTGGGTATGGCTCATAAACATCGGGTAATTACTCTTTCGCAAGATTCCTTTTACAGAGATCTAAGTGAAGAAGAGTCAAAAAAGGCGAGCCGTGGCGAATTTAACTTTGACCATCCAGGTAATCATATTACCAACTTCAACAGTCACTTTTCCGTACCGTAGCGTACATAATCTGCTATTTTGGTATTTTTTTTGGTGGAATAACTTTCTGCATTTTGACTTGCATTACTGACGTCACTCTTTTCTAAAGAAGCCGTTCGCAGTTTATCTTGTACCTTTGAAATGTAAAGTTCCTTTTTTAAAAAGACGAGTGCTTTGGGAAACTGATCGTTCTTTTATGCTTTTTACATTCAAAACGGTAAGGGAGTGGGCCGGCTTGACTGCCTTGGAAGGATGTAACCATTTCTGTTCTTTTAGAGGCGTTCGAACATAACCGAATGCTTGATACTCTAGAGAGCTTACGAAGTGGGCATAGTGTTTCTATCCCAAGATATGACTATTGTACGAATGCTAGGTATGGTTAATGCTGCTCTGCTTCAAAAAGTGACAAAAGTTAAGTTTGATAAAAATCCCAACTTTTACTTTTTGTAGACTTGATGAACACTTTACGGTGGAACCTGCAGATGTCATTATTGTTGAAGGGATACTGATTTTTTACGACCATAAGTTGCGTGATTTATTCGATATGAAAATTTTTGTTGATGCGGATTCTGACGATCGTCTAGCTCGACGCGTGCAACGGGATACAAAGTATCGTGGGAGGACTCTCCAGCAGGTTTTTTCTAACCGTATTTTAATGCCGATTTCTTTGGCATACTCATCTTTGTTTTTCCGTGCTTGCTGTATTATTATTGTTTGTCTATATCTCTGCAATCATTGTTATTTCATGCCTTCTAAATCACTTTTAGCATATATTTTGCAATTTTTAGGTGTTAAACCAGTACCTTAACTTGGTCAAGCCGGCTTTTGAAGAATTTTGTCTCCCGACAAAGAAATATGCAGACCTGATCATTCCAGGAGGAGCAGATAACGAAGTAGCTATTGACCTGATTTTGCATCATATCCACGAAATACTTCGTTCTCCTCGTTCTTCGTCGCATTCATCACTTGATTTGGAAGAGAATCTGGATGGATTTTCTTCATACAGTCGTCCTCACTGAGCGGTTTTCGGCAGTCTCTCCTGAATTGCCATTTGTTATCTATTTGTTTGTGAACTCGCTTAGCATTAATTCACGTTGTAAATAAATGCTTTACTAGTTGTAAATTTTGATTTTCCTTGACGTAACGGTTTGTTTTCAGGTGTGTGAAACTATTTTTGGAACTTTTATTTTGGGTGCCTTTCTACAAGTTTTAAATACTGTAAAGTTGCATTTTGTTGTGTATTTGTCTCACAAATATCAGTCTTTTTTCTGTCATAACTTTTCCTTGTTACATTGGTTGATGGGAAAGTTGCTCAGTGTAAACTGTGTTGATGCATTGTATCACGATATGAATGAAAAAAGATCTCGTTGCATTTTTTGGCGTTTTTGTTATTTCTCGTTGAAATAATGCCTTTTGTAAGACCTTTCGTATTGAATGTAACAGTCTTTGCGGACTTTGTATTGATACCATTATCTTCTTGGGCTTTAAAGTAGATTGATTTGCTTTGCATCTACATCATGTATGCTGTGTTTTTGTTTGCAATAAAGGAGAGTATTTCTACGGCATTCAAAATTGTGATTTGTTTTGGTGATCAAGGGATAGTTTTAAAGAGTAGAATGAGAAATGAAGAGGTTGTCTTTTGACGATAACTGTTTTAATAATATTCATCTGTTGAGCGCAGTAAATTTTTGCGACAGCACAGGACGCCAAATATTGCGTTCTCAAAGTGTGAAGTTGTCATGTGAGTTACAGGCAATAATGGGCAGGGAAGGAGTAGCAAAGTAGAAGGGAGGATTGAAAAAAATAAAGATTTTGATGTTTTTGAGTTTTGGTACGCAACGCATGGCTTAAAAATTCGTAAAGCTGTTTTTGAGAGACTACTGTGAAAAGGCTTGGACTTTTGTCGTTAGGATGCAAGTAAATCTGGAAATTCGAAAAGGATCTCTACTGTTTGCGGGTGGCTGGAGTCAAGTTAGCAGCAAACTTAGCATTTGTTTTTACTGTTGGATATTATTTTCTGGAAGTAGTCTTTGATGTTCAGTAAGTGATCCAAGTTATATCTTTATGAAAGTTTTGCAATCTCATATAGGTTATAGAGAGCTGCTGGTGAGCTTATCATGGGGAAGATCAAAACTGAAGAAGCGGAATCATAACTTAAGTCAGGTTTGATCTTAACAAATTGGTAAATGTTATCATGTCTCAACATGTTGCAACTCGTATTTCTGCGTGAGGAAAAGTTAGACAACGATCATACTTGAAAATGCAAAAACAGTTATCCACAAGTAAATCTTTAAAGTAAAACAGAAATTGGATCTCGCTTTCGAATAGTGAGTGCTTGTTTTCTTGTATAACTGAAACAATTTCTGTACAAATTATAACGCATCCCTTACTTCACTGTTCTTGCGCAACAGTCGCAAAGCTTACATAAAACCTAGTGACTAGAGTGTTTTCACCTAAGTTTTGTTGTCTTACAAAATTTCTATTTGCTAGAGAAGATTACTTTTGACCATTTATAACGAAAAAGAATCTTTGTCACATATATCCTTAGCACCACTTATTGAAAGATAATATTTCATTTTAAATAAGATCGAGCTGAAATATTTTACCTAAACTAAAGCTGAAATTAAAGTCAGGTAAATAACTGAAATTTAGCTGAAGTCAAAATGAAACCTTAACTTTATTTGCACTGGTTTTCAAGTTACCAGTAAGATATTCATTCCATCTAAAATCTAAATGAAGTTTAGTTACATAAGTTTTCATAGTCTGGTTAAAACAGTAATTATAACAAAATAAAGCAGATATTATATTTAAATTAACCGTTATATTTAAAGTGATTTGGCATTTAGTTTAAACAGCCAAAAAGTTTTGAATAAAGTAAGTTACAGAGAGAACTAAAAGATGAATTTTCCAAGTTTGGACTGAGAAACGTATTGGCACGTTTTCACCATATTGAAAACAGAATACTGAGTGTTTCTCTTCGCAAAGCACAACGGCAATTATCACTTTGCTTTATCTCATAACATTGATGATTTTTGGAACAGTTGTACAATTTGCTGATGATACAGTCAGTTCCTACCCTATGCACTTTCTACACGTAACAACTTTGTTACTGGGGAAGAGTCTCGCTGGATTATTATCTTTCACTTGTAATTACTGTATTATTTAGAAGACTTCAGATGTTTTACAGTTCGCGCCTCTAATCGAGCACTGCCGGCCTACACGTGAAGGTGTCATATTTTTTTTGACAATAGCTTTAAGTTACTGATTTCTTAAAAGTAGAGTTTACAAAAGCATCTAAGATGGCGGCTTTCGCTCGCATATAGAAATTATCTTCACATTTGTTAACTATCATTCAGGATTAAGTTTTGCAATTGGCTCATTTTTCAAACACACAGAATATAATCTGCAAGACTGTCAAAATAAAATTGAATGATTTAAAAGGCACTTTAGCGCAATAAGACACTTGTTTAAGATAACTTGTTACTTAAGATGTGACCAAAGAGGGGTAAAAAAAGGTAAACTCTGACCAAAAAATGACTCCAGAAGCGCAGTTTCAAAACAGTTGGAATACTTTTTTGGCGAGATATTAAACTTCAGGACGACTGCTGAAACTGATGCAATTTTATGTAAAACAAAAGTGTTTAACATTGATCATGTTTCCTCATAGACGTGGACATTTTGAGAAACCTATAATAGATAGAAAAAAGTTTCTTTCAAAACTTTTTAGGAAGATTAGTTTTTGCACTAGCCAAGGTAGTTTCTAGGCGAGTGGGATCCGGCAACGTGTCATCTATCCAGACTGGTGGACGAGGTACAACATAACATGGTGGAACCAGCAGGTTTTAATCATTCAGTGATTAAAGATAAATATAAATTGTAAAGTTTCTTCAGAAGCCTAAATACCTTAGCTATTGTGCACTGTATTAAATGCACTAGCGAGAAACGTTGAGGTACTGCAAGTTAGTATTGAAAAAGTTATCTTGTTGAATTAGTTTGCCTGCGCCTGAAAGTTGGCGTGCTGCAGGTTAGAAACAGGGGGCCCTGATAGTTCTATAAAATTTATCAAAAAAATTAGGAAGAGAGGGTTTCAAAAAAGCTCAATTGTTCAAAAATTTATTTCATGATTTCTTAATTTTTTGTAGATTACTGAAGCTGAAAAAGCGGTCAAAAACACTATTTTACTAACTATTGTTTGGGAATCATGTGTTTCTTGGTGTACAGCCTATTTTCATAGTTTTCTGATACTTGAGTTGTTGGAAATTTAGCACCAGCTATGTATCCATATGAATGCCAAGCTAGTATGTGAGATGGATTTATAGTCAAGAGTATAATTATATACTTGTTATTTTTACTATAACTTTCTGCAGTGGAATGCAGAAATACCTTTCAAAAAATTTTCTACAGAGATATGAGGTTTCTGGCTTTTCTTACCAAGACAAAATGGGTGGAAATTGCCAAATTTGAGTTAACATTCCCGTTCTCGCTGAAATTGTCAGTAAAAGTTTCCGCAAGTTTTACCCTTTTTTTAAGTATAATAGTTGACTTGGCAGTAAAGCTTGGCATTCATCTAGTAAAAGAACGTGTTGCGCTGATAAGTATATTCAAAATACTGACTGCCAGAAACTCTGTTGTGCTCTTTACTTCCATCACTGTATAAGCCACAATTTTTCATGTTGAACCTGCCATTTAAGATCTAACGTGACGCATTGTGCTTCCTGTGAGCACTTCATGTTTTGTAATAAACTGGTCTCTCAGCAGGAAGAAATTACTAATTTGACCGTCAACCGCATCAGTGTGTACAACGGTGAAAAAATTACTATGGTTACGCGTAGTTGATGAAAATGATGCCAGTTAGTGGTGAATATGGGGATCTATCCAAATTAAAAAGTAGTACTGAGGGAATTTTTTGGATGTTCATGTACCGCAGACGAAGTGCGGAAGAAAAGTTAAGGGGCCATAGATCAGCAACATTGATAAGATAACCGTAAACAAAAAAATTTTTTGTCTGAGTGTAATTTTAATGAAGCTCCGAGACGTAACTGCCGCTTTTAACTGTTTCAGTCTATGCGGTGACCTTTCGTTGTAACTGCACGTCATCCTTCATTCATTTTCTCATTTACAATTATTAACTTGAAGTAGCTTTAAAAAATCAATCACTCTTTCATTTCTTGGGTTGCAAGTTTTATCTTGTTCAGCCAGAAGATTTTCTAAGATTTGAAGCAGGATCTTCGCTAATCGCTGCTTTTGCAACAGTAACTTTTTGTCACTGGAAGCGACTGTAGTAAGCATTTTGAAAGCCGTTGAGTTGAGGACCTTTTTATTATCCTATTACCCTCTATTCGGATATCCCTAACCTACTGCTAAACGACTTTGGAGATCTATGGATGCTACACTCAGTATACGTCCTCCTGTAAGTTACAGTTTATTCGTTTGAAAAGCGATCTTTATTAAAGAACGTGCTGAATAAGGTAGATTTATATAAAAAATTGCATTTTTCAAATTGTTGGTGACAAGCAAAGATTGATCGCTGGGTGAGAAAGACGAAACGACCACCTTAAGACTTTTTGAAGGGCAGTTTGGAAGCTGACTTGCTTTGCTAAATCAACCTTTATCTTCTTCATCCCGCTTCGCTAAGCCTAGACCTAAACGAAGCGCAGGCAACTCTAGCAACTTGGTTGAAGCACGGACCGGTTGAAGTAGATAGCCATTTCCATTTTTGGAACAACAAGACAAAACGCGGAATAATTGTTTTAACGGAAAATTAAGAGTACATTCTCAGTTAGGTTCCAAACACTTTTTTTTGATGGGCTTCTTACTGGGAAGAATACCGCGGAATTAAATTTGAACAAAGCGTCAGAAATGCTCACTGAGACAGGTAGTACAGTTAGCCGAGCAGTATGCTTGATTGCGCGATATCCCTATGACGAGTGTGCGTGGAGAATATCAGAAGCCGTTCTTCAACGTTTGAGAATTTCGGCTGGGTGGTGGGTTTGACGAGACAATCTGCACGGGAAGAAAG